AAAAAAATTCTGTCTACCAACAGAACCAAGGGGCTAAATACCAGTATACTGAGATGAAAGGAAAGAAGAGCACTGAACCCGCTCTCAACTTCCAGAGGGCTTTCTCCTCCCCCGCCCTTTTTAAGCCCTTGATACACAGCATGAAAAGTGGTTTCTGCTATGGACTCATAACCGTTATTATAATCTAGTCGGGGGCTGTGTTCTCTGCTCACTACACTCACCAACCCCCTCTCTGGGGGTAGGCAGCCCCAGCACTCCCCCCAGCCACCAGTGAGGGCCAGGCCAAGGCATGGCAGTCCTGGCCTGCCCCAGATGTCTCCCCCCAGCTTCGCCCCCTACTCCCAGGGGTTTGGGCCAGGCCACGGCCGCAGCTGGCCCAGCTCTCCCCCCATCCGCCGAAGGAGGAGGGGAGCCACTGAGAGGTCTTGCTGGGCCCCAGGCCACGGTGTAGCAGCCGAGCACCTACGGGGAAAGTGGGGGGAGGAGGAAGGGAAGATGCAGGTGGGACGCAGAGTGACACGATGACATCACTCTGTCATCCCGCAGGAAATGAGAGAGAGAGAGAAAGGAATCACAAGGAAATGAAGAGTAGAACCTGCAGAGAGAATGGAAGAGGGTATTTCAAAACAATTACACCAACTACACAATCCTCAGTTGGTTAAAAGTATGGGGGGGCTTGGTGCTAAGGAAAAAGTCAGTCAAAATGTTGTGCTCTATAAGAACAAGTGATAGCCATGGTGTCCAACACGCTAGCCACATGTGGCTGTTTGGCCAGTTGAGTGCAGCTAGCTGTCTCACAAAATTATTTACATTTTCAGAATAATGTGGCAAGTTAGTGGCTACTGCTACAGCAATAGAGGCTACTACTTCAGAATTGATTGGACACCTCAGAGTTACAGGGACTAAAACAACCATGCTAAACAGTTGTGACAAGTTTGCACTTATCTTCACGCTTCACTTAAAAGGTCAGAGCTCATGTCACACAAATCAAATTAAAAGACTAACAAGTACCTTTTTTGCACAGGAATGAAGAGGCATAGTATCTATTTTGCAATAGCATCCTGCTTTTTGCGATACCCTTTAAAAAAATTCCCATACATGTCTGTCCCACCACCTTTTTCACAAATAGCCAAATAAGCTGGAATGCTCTCTGTCTGCTAAAAATCTCAGGGAAAGGGGAAAAAAATCAACATAGAACAGGGATAGTATATAGGCAGATTATGAGCCAAATCCAGATTACCAGATTTTGAATGGACTCTGAGATCTTTTTATTTATTTAGCATCATTACTGGAGCGGGTTTTGTTATTATATTCGCTAGAATCTGGACCTTGACAATACCTTCACCAAGAAAAAATGATTGCCCCGACCTATAGAGTAAAACTAACAGATATTTTACCTACACCTTCCAATCTTTTAATAATTATATTGTTTGTTTGTATAACCAGAGCATGTGATATCTTGACTGTATAAGCAAAAGGGAAATAAACTAGAAGTTTCAGGCAAAAATAACTCCACGTGTATTAAACTACTGTAAATAATGACTGAGTCCTACACCTTTCCTCCTCTTTCCTTCAAAAGTCCATGAATAAAATTCCACTCCCTAACCACAGGAACAATTTACCCAAGGCTTCTGAGTCTTCATTAGGGATACGAAAGTGAAACCATGGACAGACACAGTTAAAAGAGGAGCACAGGCTCCTCCATTAACCTTCACGGTCACATGCAGGGTCCCACCACCCACCTCCCCCTACCACACTGCTGCCTCCAATACAGAGGCAGCAGCAGGGGAAGCCAGTTTTTATGCTGCGAGCAGGTACTGGCTCCCAGGGAGCCACCTTTCCCCCCCCCACACACTGTTGCCTCTGTCAGAGGCAGCAGCATGGTGGGAGGGGAGGGGGACAGGCTGCCTCCCCTCCTCCCCCAATTTAACCATGTAACTGCTGAAGTTTGAATTTAATTTAATGGATTTTGACATCCCTAACCTTCATCACAGGTAATTAAAATAGATATATATATATACTTTTAAGATATGCTTTAGGAATTTGGGGGGGGGGCAACTTCTTTGACCTCTGTTATACAGCTGGTGAGGCTATATGATCACAGTAGTCCCTTCTGCCCTTAGAATCTAATAATATACCTCCCTGGAAATACTTTGGGATGGCCTTTACTGAAGACTGAATCCTTCACAAGGGTGTGCATGCTATATTTATGGAATATAATGAAATGCTGTAGGTTGACTTTTACAGTGGAGCAACAATGCACAGCCACCCTTTTTATTTCATTTGATCTTTGCAGTTCCAGTGTGAGTTAAAGCTTAAAGATAGATAACTAGTTCAAAATACACTGGAAAATATTACTGATGCTGGTAAAATTAAATATGAAAAAAATGTGATATATTGACTCATGTGAGAAAGAAACTTAAAAGCACAGAAGTATGCAAGCCAAAATATAAAAGGATTAAGTAAAGATGTAATTTAAAAAAATATATATACATAAAATTCTAACCCAACACTGAAATAGGCGGCTTATGTTTTTTAGCACTGGCAGTGTAATTTACCTTAACTTCTATACAGCACTTCCCCTACTAAGAGAGCCGTATATTATTATTATTACTGTACAGTACTCGAAAGCTATGCTGATAATGTGCATACATTATAACTGCTTCTCTACACACAGTAGAAATTGTTCTTCCTATTTGAATGTTTTAAAAGTCAGTTTTACCCACTCACTTTGTGTGAACGCTATTACGTATTTTATTCTAACTCTTGATTCTCTTGTTTTAAAAATAGAATTTCTAACAAGAAACACACCAGGGATCTGTTCAGAACCCACAGGCACTTTCTTAAAATGAGAGAGAACAAAGGAGGAAACCTCCCAGCATGCGCTTTCCAAACCAGCTACTTAGGACAGAATCAAGACAGACAATACTAAACCACAAGCTTTTCTTTTTTTATTCTTTGATCCCTCTATGACAATTGATTATCCAAAACTATGCAATAGTTACCAAAAGACTGGGGTACAAGGCAAAGATTAGAACAATCCAATAGCCAATTTAAGGAGATGGAAGAAATACTGAAAAAAAGGTTTAATCACCCACATATATGTCTTCCAATTAGAACGAGCTTTAAATAGCTTACCTTCAGATAAATTAAGAGTCTGCATACAGTTGTGGTGGTGGGATGAGGATTAAGGAAAGGAAAAGTCACACACATCTCTTCTTAGAGAGGGAAGTAGAACAGACTTTCAAAAGTCACATTTCATAGACAAGGGATGAAAACCAAATATTGGTTCAACTTATTCAGAACCTTTAAAACACCAAGAAACATGGTAATTCTATGCCTAAGAACTGCAAAAGACATTTGATGTTATATGATAGTTTTTCAAACAGCACAAAAATGCTCAAGTCATGTAGAATATTTCAGCTTAGTTAGGAAATGGGACATCGATGTATGCTTTACACTTGTGTCTACAAACTGGTCCTATTAAAAGTAAAGTGACTGAGTAAAAAAGTTCTAATGTATTTTCAATTTTAAATATTTGACAGAACTAGGTGTCAAAGATGTAGATACTGGGTAATTGACTAGTCGAGTAACCACATGAATTCTTATCAGTTACTTGACTATTTTATAGTCCCCAGGGGCAGGGCCAGCAGCCAGGGCAATCCAGCCCCACTCCCAGGGAGCCCCCTGCTACCCCTTGCTGCTGCCTCTGATTCAGAGGCAGCAGCAGCACGGTGTGCCAGGTGGGGGCCAGTCTCTGAAGGGAGCCAATTTAAAAATCAGCTCTCCGTGCAAACCAGCTGCCTGTTACACCCAGCTCCTGCACCCTCCTTTCCCACTCAGACCCTACAAGCTCAGATTGTTCCAGCACCCTCCCTCTCACCCAGACACCACTCTAGACCCCTTCTTGCACCCTCCTCCCATCCAGATCCCACTTCTGTGCTTGCACCCACCTCCTGCCCAGATACCACACCCACAGCCCCTCCCACCCAGCTCCTGCGCCCTACCTCCCACCCAGACCCTGCATCCCCACTCTGCTCCTGAACCCTACCTCCCACACAGAACTCACACTCCCACACCCTCAAATCACTTCTGCACCTTACCTCACACCCACATGCAGCACCTTCACAGTACTCTCACCCCCAGTAGCTCCCTCCCATATAATGAACTTATTTTTGGTCCCAGAGCCACGGGGCACCCACAAAATCCATTAGCCCCAGACCCACAGAAAAATTAATCCAGCCCTAGGGTAAGCCCAGAGCCTTTGTGTGCACTCCCTACCCCTTGGGCTAGAGCTGTCCTTCTCACTTGGGGCCAGTCCAGTAAGGATTGTATTGGGTTGCAGCCAGGGGGGAGGGTTTTTTTCCCCTCATTCACTTCTATGGGGCTTTTGATTTTTCCATGGGTCAGTGGCCCCTGGGCCAAAAAAGATTCCCCATCCCTGCTATAGTTCATCAATTTGTAAAAACTATAAGACAAGGTTGTAATGTATAAACAACACATCTCACTTGGGGCCAGTCCAGTAAGGATTGTATTGGGTTGCAGCCAGGGGGGAGGGTTTTTTTCCCCTCATTCACTTCTATGGGGCTTTTGATTTTTCCATGGGTCAGTGGCCCCTGGGCCAAAAAAGATTCCCCATCCCTGCTATAGTTCATCAATTTGTAAAAACTATAAGACAAGGTTGTAATGTATAAACAACACAAACTCCTTATGGCTACAAATATATTCTTCCAAATGTACGCCAATGCAGTGCTGCCTTCAGGGATCTGCAGCTTTCAAGTTGTACCTGCACTAATGCCCTTCCTGAGCAGCAGTAGAGTGAAATTAACAAGCCACAAGTCAGTTTCACAGTTACCATTCAGAACCCTGAAAGGAGCGGTGAAACTGAAAAGAATGATCTCAAATTTCTTTCTGTTGTGGGCTGGGAAAGCAATGAAGCAGCAGAGGCTGGCATAAGAATGGCCAAACAGGAGAGAGAGAGAGAGAGATAAAAATAGACCATGAGAGAGAAGATTGGGAAGAACAGTGGATACAAATACAGCCCTATGCTGACAGTAACTGGGAAGCTAGGAAGGAGCAAAAAAAAGACCTCCTACCATTTCCTTCAGACAACAACATCCCTCCCCTCTCTCCAATATGTTAGATAGCACGTAACTGAATAGTTGTGCATCAGATTTTAACGGCTACACGACTATTCGATAGTCCCCAGAGGCAGAGCCGGCAGCGAGTGCACTCTGGCCCCATTCCTAGAAAGAACCCTGCCACCCAGTACTGCTGCCTCTCAGAGGCAGCAGCAGTCTATTCCCATGGGGAGGCCGAGCTCCCCACTGACAGAGGCTGCACCTGCCACAGAGGTTCTGTAGCACAGGTGGTAGAGGCAGCTGTGTGGGAAGCTGGAGGCAAAGCCAGTGGTTGGGAAAAGCCAGCACTGCTATGGGAAGCAGGTGGCTCCAAGGAGCTGGCAGGCACATACACAGCAGTGCAGGGCAGTCGGCTCACTGCATGTACCAGCTCCTGCCTGCCCCTGCCCCTCCACACAGAGGCAGCAGCATGGGTGAGGCTTCCACAGGATCCAGGGCTCGTGGGAGCCAGCCTAAAAGCCAGCTCCTCATGGCCACCAGCTCCCCCTCCCCACTTTGCTGCCTCTGACACAAAGGCAGCGGGGTGAGGGGGAAGAGTGTGTAGTGGACAGGCTTAACTGATGAGCCCTGGCTTATTGGTTAATCAGGTCGTCGTCGTCTACACGCTGACATCCCTACTCTTCACAAACACAGTGTCAGAAGGCTCTGAGATGGCAAAAGATGGGAATGTTAATTTAATCAGACCTTTGAGGTACCGATACAAGTTACTGTTCCAATAGGAATCCCAGGTCTTCCCTCCTTTCTCAACACTATCCCTTCACCTCACTAATGTCACCTCTCACCCAACCAAAAAAATCTTGGGTATCAGTTTCTGGTTGATAGGCTTTTTTTCCAACCATTCAAATCAGCCAGCCTAAAAATTATTCATTACTAAATGTATCAACCAAGCACATTGCTTTCAGCAACATGCACTCCTGTATTTCTACACTAAGATTAAGTAAGTAGCTTAACAGGGAAAACAATTCTCAACCTTTCATCTTCAATATTTATGTAGACTACATAATTTTTAGAACATTAGGAAGGAGGGGGGAAAAGGGCTTCCTCAGGTCTCAGGGAATATCCCCGGCAAGATCCACCTAAAAACAAAAGGCAGTGGAGAATAGTAATAGGATCCAGTCATCTTCAACCAGCACAGAGAATCACCCTCATTGCACCTATAGACCCCAGAGGAGCTAATCACCTTCCCAAACAGGCATAGCATTTTTGTTAAGCTTTTTCACAACTTAAAAACCTGTGCAATTCCTATTTAATCACACCCAAGACAAAGTAGCATAAGCCTTAGATGGACAGTAAGAGGGGAACACTGAGAAATTTTGAAATATTAAGTAAAGAAGATTCCCTCAGCCATACAATAAACATTACACACTATGTACTCTAAAACCTCTTACTCTAGAGCAGGGTTTCCCAACCTATGGGTCAGGACCCAAATATGGGTCTCCATTATATTTCAAAACAGTCGCCAAGTGTCACCCACAGTGGCTCTGTCCCCTCTCCTCCCCCTGTTTTTTAATTGCCTTGGGTCACCAAGTCTTCCTGAATTTTCAAAATGGGTCCCCATCTGGAAAAGGCTGGGAGCCACTGCTCTATATACCCTATATAGATATACCTATTTCACAGAACTGGAAGGAAACTTGAGAGGTCATCGAGTCCAGTCCCCTGCCCTCACAGCAGGACCAAGTACCATCCCTGACAGATTTGCCCCAGATGGCCCCCTCAAGGATTAAACTCACAACCCTGGGTTTAGCAGACCAATGCTCAAACCACTGAGCTCTTCCTCCCCCAATGAGGCTTGATGTTGACCAGAAATAAATAGGGGTCAGAGGAAAGAAAAGGAGAAAACACATACACACACATTCCATAACATATAAACTTTCCACTTTGATAATCCAACGTATTTACCCTTTCCTTTATTTTAAAGAGCCAGAGTGAACTGCAGTTTGAGATAACTTCACATAAGAGAAAAAATGGACTAAGTTTGTGAACCAAGTGTTTGGTTTCTGTCTTTTGTTACCACTGTGAAAATCAAGTTGGATGTGTCGTACATATAAAATTATACTGTCTCCTCAAATCAATGGCAATCTCTGCCTAACCACAGCATAGGAGTTTTAAGAGGATCCACCCTACCAAGTTTGTTCATTCAAACATCAACTGCATCATTTTAGGATTCGTTTCGAAGCAGACTTTTCAGAAATCTCTCCCAACGGTCTGGTTACAAATATGCATCCCAATGAGACTTTAAAACTCTCATTTGAATCATCTCCTTTATCCTATTTATCAAATCCAGAGACAGACATATGTAAGCGAGAAGACAGAGGAAAGTTTCTCTCATTAAGAACAGCCATATGGGGTCAGACCAATGGCCCATCTACCCAAGTCTTTCAAGAGTGGCCAATGCCACATGCTTCAGAAGGAACGAACAGTCCATCTCCTGTAGCCCATTCACAGCTTCTGGCAAACAGACTTGAGACACTTCCGGGGAAGGTTTTGCATTGCTACCCATCCTGGCTAATAGCAATTGATGGCATTACCGCTCCAAGAATCTATCTAGTTATTTTTGAACCTTGTTATGGTCCTGGCCTTCACATCCTCTGGCAAAGGGTTCCACAGGTTGACCGTGTATTGTGTAAGGAAAGACTTTGTGTTTAAGCCTGCAGCCTATTAATTTCATTTAATGACTCCCTAGTTCTTGTGTTATGAGTCAGAAACACCTTATTTACTTTCGCCAAATTCTTTTCTCTCAAGGAGAGGGAACACCCACCACCTTGGTTTCCTAGTATCCCCCCTTTTCTGAAAGCAATTAGGGGGCTTTAATTATAAAGCAGGGAAGGTTGTCAATTCAGGGATATTAAAAGGCAGTTCCTCCTCCAGCTTCATCATAACATATATAGCAACCCAATCCCCCAGATTCCCTCCCCCTCTTGTACTAACTAAAGCATCTCCATGGGGGTCCATTTAAAAACTTTGCTGAGTGCTCAGGGATGGGGGAAGGGTGAGCATGGAGACAAGCATCTGTGGCAACCATCCTCCCCCCTCTAGCGAAACAATGAAAAAGAGAGAAGCAACCTCCTCCTGTAATCGCTACCGAACCACTCACTTCATTCCCTGTCCCTTTTTTAAATGTGCATTCTGGCTGCGCTAACCCTCCAGGAAAACACAAACGGTGTGTACAACACAAGTCTCAGAGGGGTAGCTGCGATCGTCTGGCTCTGCAAACACAACGAGGAGTCCTGTGGCCTCTCAGAGAGGAAGCTTTATTCGGGGACAAGCTTTCCTGGGTCAAACCCACTCACTCACTTCATTCCCTGTCCCTTTTTTAAATGTGCATTCTGGCTGCGCTAACCCTCCAGGAAAACACAAACGGTGTGTACAACACAAGTCTCAGAGGGGTAGCTGCGATCGTCTGGCTCTGCAAACACAACGAGGAGTCCTGTGGCCTCTCAGAGAGGAAGCTTTATTCGGGGACAAGCTTTCCTGGGTCAAACCCACTCGGTCCAGGGGTAGCAACAGCCCCCCCCCCCCCCCCCACCCCCCTC